AATGTGGAAACACAGTAGACCAGGAATAAGAGGACATGAATTCTAGATACACCTCCTCCATTTTACTTGTTTATATTGGGTCGGCAGCTAAGTAATTGCGGGTTTCACACACATATGGCTTCAGTTGAATTTTTAGGTTTGCAGATGTAGTACAAATGTAAAACACATTTTGTTGTTTGGTAGTTGGCTATTCAGCTGTTAATCAGTGAAAAAAGTTTTTTGATCTGTTTTGTAGTTTTCGTTTGGCGTTCGTTGAAAAATGGAAAATCAAAAGGAACATTTTAGTCATATTTTGCTTTTTTATTTCCACAAGGGAAAAACGCATTGCAAGCTCATAAAAAGTTATGTGCTGTTTATGGTGACGAAGCCTTAAAAGAACGGCAGTGTCAAAATTGGTTTGCCAAATTTCGTTCTGGTGATTTTTCACTCAAAGATGAAAAACGCTCTGGTGGTCCAGTTGAAGTTGATGACGCCCTAATCAAAGAAATAATCAATTCGGACTGTCACAGTACAACACGTGAGATTGCAGAGAAGCTTCATGTATCACATACATGCATTGAAAATCACTTAAAACAACTTGGCTATGTTCAAAAACTCGATACATGGGTTCCTCACGAACTGAAAGAATCACAGTTAACGCAATGCATTAGCAGCTGCGATTTGCTAAAGAAACGTAATGAAAATGATCCATTTTTAAAACGACTGATGACTGGCGATGAAAAATGGGTTGTTTACAACAATATCAAGCGGAAAAGATCGTGGAGCAGGCCAGGTGAACCAACTCAAACAACATCAAAAGCTGATATTCATCAAAAGAAGGTTTTGTTATCAGTTTGGTGGGATTACAAAGGAATTGTCTACTTTAAACTCTTACCACCCAACTGAACGATCAATTCTGATGTCTACATTGAACAACTAACGAAATTAAACAATGCAGTTGAAGAAAAGCGGCCCGAATTGACAAATCGAAAAGGTGTTGTATTCCATTATGACAATGCAAGGCCACACACATCTTTGGTCACTCGGCAAAAATTAATGGAGCTTGGTTGGGATGTTTTGCCACATCCACCATATAGTCCTGACCTTGCACCATCTGATTACTTTTTGTTTCGATCTTTACAAAACTCCTTGAATGGTAAAAATTTCAATAATGATGATGATGTCAAATCGTACCTGATTCAGTTTTTTGCTAATAAAAACCAGAAGTTTTTTGAACGTGGGATTATGATGCTGCCTGAAAGATGGTAAAAGGTCATTGATCAAAATGGGCAATACATTACAGAATAAAGTTATTTAGTTCCATGAAAAAATTGTCTTTGATTTTCTTTAAAAAATCCGCAAGTACATAGTTGCCGACCCAATAAAACAAATATTGAATAGCACCTATTATATGTTATGTCTGCTAGACTTTAGGTAAACAGTGATGGGCAAATGAACAAAGGCTTTGTTCTCATGAAACTTACATGTCCAGTGGAGGGCAAAGATATCAAATCATTATAAAAAGTCATTGAACAGGTATGTATTGAATATCTAATATGGGTCAGGTGCTTCAGATCATGATGAAAAAGCAGACAGAAACCTGTGTCCATTTGAGGTTTATATAGAAGTGGGAGAGGGCAGAATATAAACTCTGGACATAATAACTACTGTAATGTGTATATCTCATTGGAAGGTGATAGGTGTTATGGAAAGAGTAACAAAAACTCAGGCAGAGTTTTCGATAATGAGGAGGGAGTAACAGATAGGAGTTGAGATAGGTTGTCATATTAAACAAAACAGCAGAGTGGTGACACTGAGAAGAGGAGGTATAAGAAATAACATAGAGGAGTCTGGGGAATTGACTATACAGATATCTAGGGAAAATGCATTCTGAGCAGGGGGAACAGCCAATACAACGATCCTAATATGGGAGCATTCTGGAGTGTTCCAGGCATAGCAAGGAGGCCAAGTCATCTGAAGCCAGGGAAGCAAGTGGAGGGAAAACAGGCACTGAGATGCTAGTGTAGATTTTGTAGGGCTTTGTGGGTCATTGTAAGGAATTTGGCTTTTACTGAGAGAAATGGGAGTTAAGCAGGAGTGGAATGACCTGACTTGCATTGTAACAGGATGACTAGTTTCATGTTACAGCCAGTAACTAAGTCATGACAGGTGTGTCCTGAGAAGGGATAAAGGGGACTAATTTGATAAAATGTCTGTGTGATTTTGGGCCCTTAGTTTGACCAACCTGTGGCCTCACTGGGTCATCACCATGGTGAGAACTTCATAGCAGGCTGTGTGCATATGCACAGGCTGTAGAAAACTATACTTTGGTAATAGTGCAGAGTGGCATATAATTTAATGCCTGATTATAGTTACCCACTGAAAGTGTTTGTGCAATTAAACCACACATTCTTAAAAAGAACAATGTCGTGCTTGACTGGTGTGGCTTAGTTAGTTGAGTGACATCCCAAGCGCCAGTAAGTTGCAGGTTCCATTCCACATCAGGGCACCTGCCCCAGTTGCAGGCTTGATCCCTAGTAGGGGGTGTGCAGGAGGCAGCCAATTGATGTTTCTCTCTCCTTAATGTTTCTGTCTCCTTCTCCCTTCCTCTCTCTGAAATCAATAAAAACATTTTTTTTTTAAGGAGCAATGTCATCGGGGCCGGAGATTCACTCTATTGGTTGGAGTATTGTTCTGTACACCAATGCTGGCTGGACTCCAGTCAGGACGTGTACTGGAGGCAACCAATGTTTCTCTCTCACATTGGTGTTTCTCTCAGTGTCTTGCCCTTCCTGTCTCTCTATAATCAATGAACATATCTTCAGGTGAAGGTTAAAAAGAAAAAAACAATGTCACACAAAAAGGATGGAAATTGGTTCTTGGGGAAATCTTTCTCTATGTATAAAGCACAGATTACATACAGTATGTAAACATATCTAGTATATTTGCAGTATTTTAAGTTCATGGGGAAAATATCTAGAAAGGATTGGGGGGGGACAACAGGAGCAGGGAAGGTAAGGGTGTGATCATGAAAAAAAGTTGGAAAACGCTTACTTAAAGTAAAGGCAAGAGTAGCAGGAAGACTGCCGAGCTGGATATTAGGAAGCTGAAGCTAAAGTCAGATCCTTACCTCTGTGTGGACTTGGAACGCTCACTTCCCCTTTCAAGGTTTCAGGCTTTTCTCAAATATAAAATAAAATGTCAGGCTGAACGGTCTCTTGGGTCTTCCCCAGTGCTAAAATTATGAGGAGGAGTTGAGCTGGGACTTCAATCAGTTACAAACACCTGGTTCTGGAACCTATAGTAAGTTATCAGGTATTTGGATCCATCAAACCTCAGTTTTCAATAAGACGAGGGGCTAGTTTCAATAGTCTGCTTCTGGCATTTCTCCTCTTAGCTATTCTTTGGGTTAGAATTCTATATTCTTTTTAAAATATATATATTTTATTGATATTTACAGAGAGGAAGAGAGAGGGACAGAGAGCTAGAAACGTCGATGAGAGAGAAACATCAACCAATTGCTGCCTCCTACACCCCCCGAACCAGGGATGTGCCTGAAGCCAAGATACATGTCCTTGACCTTAATCGAACCTGGGACCCTTCAGCCTGCAGGCCAACGTGCTATCCACTGAGCCAAACCGGTTTTGGCGAGAATTCTATATTCTGTATTAGAATTCTAGAATTTCCAAAATCCATAATTCTAGTTCATTCCACAAGATTTTTGGATACAATATTGGAGCTAATAATACAACAGAGTTTTGTCACAATGTTCACCAAAAGCTTTGAAACCTTGCATTGCTTCTCAATTTTCACATGGTTTCTAGACATTGAAGTCCTTTTACAGTTCATCTGGGTCATCACTTCAAAGGGAAAGATGCATGTGATGTGGTGATGGGAAGTAGGAATTAGCAGAACAGAGGAGCAGATTGAAAAACAAAGAGCCCGTATCTGACATCTGTATATGACATCTTCTAGGCAAATTTGTACACAGTTCTTTGCTGCTTACGCCAGACCTGGGCCAGTTGAGAGAAGTAAACCTTGAATAGTTTATTCTGTGTCCATTAGAGCTTTAGTTTATCTTCCTGGCCTTCTTACTATACTTAGTAGTCCCTTAATAACAGAGAACATATCTTTTTTTAAAAAATATATTTTATTGATATTTTACAGAGAGGAAGGGAGAGAGATGGAGAGCTAGAAATGTCGATGAGAGAGAAACATCGACCAGCTGCCTCTTGCACACCCCCTACCGGGGATGTGCCCGCAACCAACATACATGCCCCTGACCGGAATAGAACCTGGGACCTTTCAGTTCCCAGACCGACGCTCTACCACTGAGCCAAACCGGTTTGGACAGAGAACATATCTTCTAACACACATGTTTAGTGCTCAGTTCAGTATCCTGTTTATAATAAAATCTTAGTGAATGTTTGCTGACTGTGATGACCACCCAGATTAAAGAGGGAAAAATAAAACCCAAAGCCATAAATCTTGGAGCCACTTCCTTTTGGTGGTCTATACTGATGTGTCCATAGACCAGAGCATCATCTTTTTTTTTTTTCCTTTTGTCACTTAATCACCTGGTGGTATTTCCAGATAAGAAATGAAAATAGAGTTTATTACCAACTGGAGTACCCATAACTCATTTATTATTGGGTATCAATACTCAAATAACTGTTTTGTTTTGAATTCAGCTATAAATACTATTAGATAATAATACCATTATGAAGAATTGAATTGCAGGAACATCTTGACTATTGTCAACATTTGAGGGCAATTGGAAGAAGGAGCTTCTTTTAGTGACAAGTAGTGAAATATTCAGAATTTTAATGTGGACATGGAAGAAATTCAATTCAACCTTTAGTAGATCCAAAGAATTGAAATTACTAACAATAAGGAAAACCCCAGAGTGTAGTTGAAATGCCCTTAGGAATGAAAGAGTTAACTGAGTGTGTAAGCTTTATCTTGTGCCAATGGACTTGTGCTTTGCTGATTAATGTCTCTGGTAAATGATTGTTAGAGACCTGTCACTGATAGTGGCTGCTAATTTCTGTGTTTCAAAAGCCTGTTGACTCTTTTGTAAGGGAGTGCAGCATCTTCTATTCCTTTACCTATTTGGGTTCTACTCAGATTTGCTTGCAAAAGGATCCCTCAAATACGTAAACATGAATGATGAAGACATTAGCACCACTTATGACACAGTCCAGAGAGAGACCGTGTATGAGGTTCCAGACCAGCCAGCAGAAAATGAAGGTCCCCTTTATCACAACATCCATGAAGACTGGAGCTCAGAAAACAATTTATATGCCACTGAGCTGGAAACTCATGAATATGAATCTGTATCAGTTGATGCTGTCGGAGGTGAGGAAAACAGCTTGGCTTTTTCCCAATCAGAAGAAGAAGGCTACACCCAGCCTTATGCAGTATGTCCCGTGGCCCAGGATCCTCAACCAGATGAGCCCCAGGAGGACCAGAACATCTCAACGGAAGAATTATACTCACCAATTCAGTACCAGGAGACGAGCCCAGAAGAGCTACAGGAGAACAGAAGCATGATGGAGGGGAGCCTGCCTTCTCCTTCAAGCTTCACCGTCCAGAAGGCCAGTGAATATTCCCTCACCTGCTATTCTGCTGCCAATGATTTGGAAGAAGAAGAAGAAGAATCAGCTCCCATGAACCCCGAGATCAACCTCTTTGTGAAGGTAAGGCTGCCTCTGACAGGAGCATCTGCTCTCGCAGGTGGCATAATTGATGCTTCATTTCACTCTGAGTGACCAGGAAAGGATGCGTGGTGTCGAGGTCCTGAAATCTCAATATGTAGTCAAGAGTAAGACTAATTAAATCCGTCATTCCAGGGTTCACCTGGGAAGGCTCAGAGTTGCAGGACTGCAACATGAATTTAGTTTTATTTTTAAAAAATAAATTTTATTGATTTTTTTACAGAGAGAAAGAAAAAAGGATAGATAGAAAGATTGATGAGAGAGAAACATCGATCAGCTGCTTCCTGCACACCCCTACTGGGGATATGCCCGAAACCAAGGTACATGCCCTTGACCGGAATTGAACCTGGGACCCTTCAGTTCGCAAGCCGATGCTCTATCCATTGAGCCAAACCGGTATAGGCTGCAACATGAATTTAAAGCGAGTCTCTAATCATTGACTACTATATACTATGGGCAAAGCGTTTTTTAAGAGTTGACCTACAGGTGTGAGCAGAAATTGCTGCAGAAATCTCTACCTTGTGACAGACCTGAAGTACATTATCCCATTTCATTCATCAGCATGATTTTCAAAAACAAAACCAAGGCTTGTGAGAGAAAGTCAAATCCTCTGACTGGTGCTGGAGTTTCATTCTTAACGTCTCTACTGTTACAGGTGCTTCAGATAAATGGTCAATAAATGTTACCTCTGTCACTGAGCTTGCCCTTTTGGTACCTGATTAAGTAAAACCAGTGCTGTAGTAGTAAGACACTAATTATCAGTGTTAATGTTTAACACTTACAATATTTAAGCAAAGGACTTTGGCAATCTTTGTATCAGACTGATATGTGATAAAGATTATGGCTATGAATATTATTAAAACATAAAAAACACTCAAGGAATTAATTATAATGGAAAACACTATTCCCAACATTCATCCCCCCACAATATTCATATTTACATGTTTCTTATCTATGAAGGCAAGATATTAGTAATATTACTATATATTTTTTAAATATATTTTTATTAATTTCAGAGAGGAAGGAAGGGGGAGAGAGAGATAGAAACATCAATGATGAGAGAAAATCATTGATGGGCTACCTCCTGCACATCCCCCACTAGGGATTAATCCTGCAGCCACGGCATGTTCCCTGACTGGGAATTGAACCATGACCTCCTGGTTCATAGATCAACACTTAACCACTGAGCAACACCAGCTAGGCAGTTTCCATTCTTTTTAATAGAATTATAGTTAACCAATATGTTACAGAATGCACCATAGACCCCAGCTCCTGTGTGTGGCCACCTTTTTAAGGATAGTCAGCAGAACTTGCAAAAAAGAGGGGAATTAGAATCTCTGCTTCTATGTCATTCATTCCCTCTGTAGATCTTTATTATGTTGCATGTAAATACAATATATGAAAATGGGTAAAATGGGCTGTTCTGCTTGCATGAGAGTGGAGAATCTGAGTGTGACCTGCTCATGCTTCTCCTCCTCCTCCCAGCAACCCAGAGTGCGTGTGGAACCCCCAAATATGATGGGGCTTAGGTGTGTGCACCACCTCCCTAGTGGGACTTGTTACTGTACAGTCCTGGGGTTTCTTCTCCTGGGCTGTGCCAGCATAGACCAAGTCAGCTGTGTCTACTCCTGTACTCATTTGTGTATGTTCCTGCCTGTTCTGGCATCTCCAACTGACAATGGTAACAGGAAAAACAGCAGGAGAGCAACATGTGATTCCTAAATTACACTGACCAGTCATTGAAAATGTCACACAGGCTTGTAACGAGGTCCAACCAACATTGTACCAAGGGTCAGCCATTTCAGGGTGTTGGCCAAATACTTAATTAAAATATATCCTTTATTTATTCATTCAGCAGATAGTTATCGTGCCAGGCCCTGGATTTATAACCATGAAGAAAACAAAGTCCTAGCTCCCATGCTCTTCATGTTCTAGTGGCAGAGACAACGGATGGATAAATAAATAAGTAAATATTTAATATGCCCAATGGTAGCTGTGCCATAAAAAACATAAATCTTTATAGGGTGGATTATTTTCCTATTGCTGTCGCAACAAACTATCACAAACTTAGTGGCTTGAAACAACACTGCCAGTTGTCTTAATCCAGCATCTAGAAGAGGTTCAGGAATCTGAGAAGCACAGTGTACAAATTAATCAAAGTCCAGAGATAAAACATAATTTTGAAAGGTTTGGGGGGCCAGAAGAGCTTGGCTTAAGAAACCAAGTTCTTTTGTCTCTTTGGACCCCTTGCTTTTATTAACACAAATTGTCCTAGCAAGGTAGATATACATATCCAAGGCCAGGGTTTATTATTACAGAATCCATTGTCAGATTGGAGGAATTGCCTTCGGCTGTTCAGGTGTTTGGCCAGTAGGAGGCAATAACATGTAGATTGAAATGCCCTCAGCTGTCTGGCAGCAAGCAATCATTTATGCATCCTTTTCCGATTTGGAGAAATGCCGTCAGCCATTTCCAATGATTCAGCCCTGCTGAAATGCAGGAATTAGCTTCTGGCACAACACAAATTAATCTCTTATAGTCCTGGAGGGCAGGAATCAAACTAAGTTTCATGGAGCTAAAATCAAGGAGTCAGTAGGGCTGTGTTCTGGGGAGAATCTGCTCTTTTCCCTTCTCATCCTCACTTGCCAACAGGCCACCATCTCCCCACCCTCCTGCTTTCATCTGACCTGACCCTCCTGGAGCCCTCTCATAAGGAGCTGGTGACTAGTTTGGGCCCACCAGGATCATCCAGGGCATCCTTCTTATTTTAAGAGTCTTAATTTAATCACATCTGCAAAGTCCTTTCCACCACAAAAAGTAACATTCATGGATCCCGAAAATTAGGACATGGGTGAGTTTGGGAGACTTCATTCATCTTCCCACAATGGGATTGAGTACTGGTGTGTAAGGGAATAAGGAGGCAGTGTGCCTGGACTGGGGCAAGAGAGGGAGGTGAGATGACAGCAGATGAGGCTGGAGAGGTGGTGGTGGGCACAGATCAGACAGTGAGGCTGGGAACTAGGAAGGCAGTCTTTCATGGCAAACTAGGGAACTTGGATTTCATCATGAAGAGTAATAGGATGTCTGGAGGAGGATATCAGGAGCAAAGCAATGTGTAAGGTGATGGATAAGCCAATTAGAATTTCCATCTATCCTGTAGAGAAGGACCAAACAGACATCCACCACGCTTCCTTTCTAGATTAGCCCAGGTGTTTAGATATAAATGCATTGTGAATAAAAAGAATGTGTATTTTTTAAGTTATTTTTCATTCAACTGTTTGAATAGGGCCTAATACTTGGATCCTTGGTTTCATACAGACAAATTTCTGGAGAAAGTTAGCAAGTATGATATTGATTTATATATTGTGTGTTTGTATATCTAGCTATTTATAATGGGGGGCCATATGGATTCAACACAAAGTTTGAGTTGAAGGTGTGTCAACATAGTTTCCAATAAAAAGGTTTGTGTGGCTGGCCTACCTCGATGGATTACTTGCACATTTAGATGTTTGGAAATAGCTGGAGCCCTGAAAGGGTCTTCCTATTCCACAGTGGCTAAGAACACCTGCTTTAATGTCAGTCATAAGGACATGTGAACGCACGTCCTTGGAAGCAAGTCTAAACCTACTGCATGTGCCCCATTGTCCTTTCACGGAACCAAGGGAGTATACAAAAATGGAACAATGAGCAGGTTTGAACAAAGATTTATATTCTGGTCACTTTTCTTTTGAATTAAAGTGCTGGGAACACCATCAAGTCCAAATTTTATTCAAAACTATTTTCTAGGTGCCCCTATGAGCTTGTGGGCTCTGTGAATCAGTGCTATTAATCAGAGAAGTACCAGAATTGTAAAGCTATGACAAGAAAATTGAAAACAGAGAAGTTCAGGAACCTGCTCAAGGCTGCCTGTGAATTGGGAATAAGCCAGAAATTAGGTCTCTTGATCCAATGCCTTTTTTTTTTTTTTTTTTTTTTTTTTTTTTAATATATTAGCATCCCTAAGCATGGGTGCTAGATGCTTATGAATATGCAAACCTCTACACAAATCTTTTGGGTGTGACATGATCTCAGGAGGGCCCATGAACTCTCAATGTTATCTATCTCTGTGATGTATCCCACTTGCCTACCTGGGTACTCATCAAGTCTTCTGTGTACATCCATATTGGTTTCTCCTTAAGCCTCTCTCTCTAGTTCATAGACGGCCTTCTTCTCCAGTGTCTCCACATGGTCATTCACCTGTGTGTGTCTGTGTGCTATTCTCCTCTTCTTATAAGGACACCAATCATGTTGGATTAAGGCCCACCCTAATGATCTCTTTTTCACTTAGTCACCTCTTTAAAGACCCTGTCTCCAAATTCTGTCACATTCTGAGGTACAAGGAATATGGTTCAACATATGAATATTTGGGAGACACAATTCAGCCCATACACTGAAATATTATAATGCCCTTTTAATGCAATTATCTCTCTCTCTAGCTATGAAGTGTCAAAGGAGGGCCTGCTTTCTATCCATTCTCATATACTTGGTCTATGGCCACTTACACGAGGATTGAATGATGGAAGGAGGGACTACATCACCCAGAGGTCCTCAGGACATTGAGGGAAGAGGAAGGCTTGGCCCAGTGGCCCCCAGCAGTAGGGAGAGTGTGCTCCAAGTCCCCTATGTTAGTTTCATAGAGCTGCTGAAACAAATTGCCTTACCTTTTATGGCTAAAAACAACTGGAATTTATTCTCTCTCAGTTCTAGAAGCCAGAAATCTGAAGTCAAAGTATTGGCCGAGTCACACTCCTTCTAACAGCTCTGGGAGAGATTTCCTTGCCCTTTCCAGCTTCTGATCACTCCTGTCATTCCTTGGCTTGGGCTGCATCACTCCCCTCTCTACCTCTGTTATCACAAGGCCTTTCCTCCTGTGTCTGTGTTTTCCCTTCTCTTCCCTTATAAACACTTGCCCAAGTATTTAGGACCCAACCCAATCCAGATGA